TGTTTATATTAAAAATAAAGTCATTGAAGCAGAGGTCAGGGAGTTTTGATCATGCTCATTGCACCTCACACACACACACACACACACACACACACACACACACACACACACACACACACACACACCTACAAAAGCAAAGCCAAAAACATGTTCATCCTTTTCACCATCAGAGGTGTGCTGAAAACAGACAACTCAGTACAATCCAGTAAGAAAAATATGTTTTATTTGTTTAACGTCAAACTGATTTAAATCCCAGGTTGATTTAAATGACCTGGTTTGGACGTGTTCACTGTTCCTCACTCATCTCCTTTACTGTCCCTCTGTTGTCCCTCCTTTGTCCTCTCTGTTGTCCCTCTGTTGTCCCATCTGTCCAACTGATGAGTATGAAGGTAGATTTTTGCAACATATCTACCTTCATAATCTTTCGTCCTCACTGTCCGAGCTGCAGAGGAAAAAGAAAACAAACTCAAACACAATGCTTTTGGTAAATAAAATTATTTTCGGATTTGTTTTCAACAAAAACAACAACATAGAGAGCCAACAACAAACAAAAACAACAACAGGTGAACGTTACCCATTGGCGTAGGAGGACAGATGAGATAGATGATTCAGTGACGGTCCAGCGCTGCTCCTCAGGCTCTGCCTCAAAGTGTATTGTGGATCGATGTTCCCAGAGAGGATCCATCTCCAGATATCCTGAAGTGAATTCACATCTGAAACTGGATCTGTATCTTGAACAGAGCAACCTGCAGAGAAGAGCAGCAGGATAGGACTAGAGTTAGTAACTACATGTACCAAGAGGAACCAGTCAGCGGTTTATCAGAGATAAACAATTAGCAAAGAATGAGCTGGATGCTTATTAACTGGTTTCATTGTTCCCAGCTGAAGGTGAAGCAGCTGAGGATCAACACCTCTAAAGTAGAGTTGTTGGAAGTGATGGACGTCTCTCAACTGGAGGACTTTAAGGATTTCTGGGTTTTGTTCACAGTGAAGGAAGAATGGAGTGCGAGCTCCACAGACTTCTGAAGTTTTGTGAAGCTTTTAGTTTACCTGTCAGTCTACACTCCTATCCTCATCTATGGTCAGGAACTGTGGGTAGTGACAGAAAGGATCAGATCTTGGATACAGCAGGTTTAAATGAGTTTTCTCTGTAAGCTCTTGCTTTAGAGACACGGTGAGACGTTCTGTTCTCAAGGAGGGACCAAGGGTACAGCTGCTATGCCTCCACATCCAGAGGAAGCAGCCGAGGTGGTTCATCTGGTAAGGATGGACCCTGGACATCTCACTATGGAGGCGGAAAACCCAACAAAACCCAATCCCTGGAAGACCCAGGACACTCTGAAGAGAAAATGTCTCTCTGATGGTCTGGTAACCTTGGTGTTGGAAGATGGATGGATGGATGGATGGATGGATGGATGGATGGATGGATGGATGGATGGATGGATGGATGTAATGGGTGGGTGGGTGGATGGATGGATGGATGGATGGATGGATGGATGGATGGATGGATGGATGGATGTAATGGGTGGGTGGGTGGATGGATGGATGGATGGATGGATGGATGGATGGATGGATGGATGGATGGATGTTAAAATGATTTGGATAATTTAGAGAGACAGTTGAGGATTTAGTAATTCTTGGCCAAACTATCAGGATTAGTACACCTGGTACCCATTGGAGACCAGGTGTACCAGACACAATACCTGGTAATTAAGTACCTGTTATGTTCTGCTGGCTGTGTTAGATCCTGTTGAGAGCTGAAGAGAAAAGGTGAGTAACTGAAGGACAGCATAAAACTGTTTTCTGACCAACTTGTCTTCAAAACACGAACCTTTGACACAGAGAGACACCACTCTCTGTTTCAGGACGCATCCATCTTTCTGCACAGTGCAGATATAGAGGCCGCTGTCATCTTGGCTGGGATTGTAAAGAGTCAGACTCAGGTCTCTAGTTTTTAGTGGATTCCACCTCATCTTGGTGCGGTTTTGGTCGTTTTCATCCTGATTATAAGTGGTTGTACATTGGTTCACTGGATACACGTGGACCACCGTCTCTGGATCAATGCGTCTCCACTCCACTGAGGCGTTTGGAGGAAGACGAGTTCTGGTTCTACAGGGCAGCAGGACAGACACTTGACCCTCTACAGCCCTCACCAACTGCAGCTTGTAGGCTGAGGAGAATTATGGATGGTATCAGTACCAACATTGGTGTTGATAATATTTGGATTGATCACAGGGACGTACCTGGATTGACCTTATTCTTTAAATATCTACAGTAGAAGATCAAACCAAAGACAGCAGCCAGGACAAACAGCAGAACCAGGACAGGAGACACAACTTTGGGCCAGAGCGGAGGTGGTTCTACAGTCAACACAAGAAATACTCAAACATGGTCCAACAGGAACTCTGAACTTAAGATTTCTGGTGTTGAACCGTTCTGCTGTAGAGCAGAAAGGTTGATGTTTCTACACCCACCTGTCACTTTCAGTGGAACGTTGATTCGGCTCAGTTCTTGWCCAAACCTGCGGACCGTACAGGTGTAGGTCTCACTGTCAGAGACTGTGGGGGTCCTCAGAGTCAGGCTGAGGTCTCCGGTCCTCAGAGCATCCTCCTTCATCCACGTTCGATTGTTGAAACGTTGGTTTTGCTCTCCGAGGTCRTCCCCACTCTGCTGTCGGATGTGGATGGTTGAAAACTTCAGGTCCTCACGGCTCCAGACCACGGTGGACTGATTGGAAACAGAGACCAGGACCTGACAGGGCAGCTGGACCCACTCCACGCCCTCAGTTACCTTGACACCTAAGGCATGAAAAACTGAAAAAAACAAAAACAATCAGCTGACAGGACAACCAAGATTTTACCAAACTGATCTTGTGCCACAACATATGGACATGTGGATGATGTAGCCTCTACTCCAAACAGCATTATTGCAGCTTTGTGTTTCCAAAGTTGTGCCTCAGGGTTCCATCCTTGACCTCTCTCTGTTTTCCATTTACATTGATATTCCACAAGCTGTTAATAAAGGTGCTGTACCATTTCTATGCTGATGACACCATTTTGTATGCTATTGACCCATCCCCGAAACAGTATTCCAGTCTAAGCTAAGAAAACAAAAGTTATATGGTTTAACTGTAAGAAAAATGTAAGTCCACTAAACATGGTCTTCACTACAACAGATGGAACAATCCTTGAGCAGGTTACAGAGTAAAAATACGTGGAAATCTGGTTAGACAGTTCATCATCCTTCAGTCACCACATCACTGATTGCTGTAATTCTTTATTATCTGGGTCCAAAAAACTCTTTAAGAAGTCTTCAGTTGATCCAAAATGCTGCTGCTAGAGTTTTAATGAGAGTTGGAAGGAGAGATCATATTTCTCCGGTTTTAGCCTCTCTCCACTGGCTCCTTGTCAAATTCAGAATAGATTTTAAAATATTACTCCTAACATACAAAGCTCTTAACAACCAAGCTCCATCATATGTTAAACATCTTGTTGTTCCATACTTTCCTAACAGAGCACTTCGCTCTCAGACTGCAGGTTTACTTGTGGTTCCTGGAGTTTCTAAAAGTAGAATGGGAGGCAGAGCTTTCAGTTATCAAGCTCCTCTCTTGTGGAACCAACTTCCAGTGTCTGTCCATGAACTTTCTGAGACTCAAATTATCAAAACACAAAGCTGCATGCCAAGAAGAAATGTCTCACCTGCCCAGAGACCTGACTAACTAACAAACACACATATCTATTATTTGAAATATGTTGAAGCCGTTTCCAGCTACATTTGGCAGATTGTCATCACAGAGTAATGTAAGATAACCGGGGGGCGTTGGCTCAGTTTTCCTGTAAAGACTTTATTTTTAACTCCAAACAATCCCATCTACTTTTTGTTAGTCATCTGGATAAAGCAACACTCTATAAGATTTGCTGAAGGAAGCATAAAAACAAACTACCTGTAGACATTTTGTGAATTCAGGAAGTAAAAAGGCTCATCCTCATAAACAAAGTCCAGTGAAGTTGACAGGCAACTGTTCTTACCTTGTAGGAGAATCACAGACAATAAAAACATGTTTATACTCCGTTAGCAAATGTTTGCTCCAAAGATCTGCTCCTCCCTCCGGTGATCCATCAGAACTAGTTTAGGGATGACTTTCAAAGTAAAAACATGCCCAAATCCCAATTTATAGCGTTTGGCTTGATTTGGATCTATCATCGGAGGAAACAATAAATCATCAGAAACAAAAACTGAACAACCGTGTTTTAAAGAAGTTTGTAAAGCAAGGAGCAGAAAGAAAGAGAAAGATTTTCTGTGACACTTTGACTCTAATTTGTAAAAGAGAACTCAGAGTTTCAGTTCCTTGAAATGATTTCGATGGAGGTTTGGTGATTTACTAACTCCTTTACTAGAAACAGAAACCAGGACCTGACAGGGCAGCTGGACCCACTCTACACCCTCAGTTACCTCGACACCTGAAGCATGGAAAACTGAAAGGAAAAAAAAGACATTTAGCTGACAGGACAATCAAAATAAGGCAAACTGATTGTCTTTGATGGTCTTTGTGGAGTCTTTGGTGAGGCCATCAATCACACATAAACAACATGGTCAAGATCTACAATATTTGGAAAACAAACTTTCATATCATGGTCAAGGTAGTCTATTGTCCTGGTGCAGTGTACTGAGGACCCAGGTAGACTGTGGGGGACTACAAGATCTTTACTTCATACGTACTTCCATTCGTTGAAGTTATGTCATGTTATGCAGATGATACTTGGTTATATTTAGTCATGAATCGAATCAGTTTCTGAGATTATGAGCTTGAGTTAACAACGAAAACCTGAATGTCTCATTTTCTGCTTTTAATCTCAGACAGATGGAGGTTGAAGATTTTAGATCTGAGATTCTCAGAAACAAAATTAGCTTCCTTTAACAACCCAAGATGACGAGTTTGTGCTCCTTTCACCATCTCCATCTTCTAAAGCTCATCTGTGGTCAGGTCCAAATGAGGGAAACCCAGACTTCCTTCTTCCCAGAGTCACTCTCTAACTCTTCCTTGCGGGTCCTAAAGACCATAGAGGATCCATAATCTCTCTAGAGAGTTCTGGGTCTGCCCCTGGTCTCATCCCAAGGGGACTCCAAGGGAAGACATCCAGGATGAACCATCACACCTGACTCTGTCTCTACTCACATCCTCTACCTCTAAGGCTGAACCCTATGAAGGAAGCTCGTTTCAGATGCTTGGATTCAGGGTCTGGTTCTTTGTGTCATAATCCAAACTTCCCAGGTGAGGATCTGAAGGTAGACACTCCAGTAAATCCAAAGTTCTGCCGTTGGACTCTTTCTTCACCACAATGGACAGAAGCATTGCCCTCATTACTGAGGACCTGATCTGTGGACCCATCTCCTGCTCCATCAGGAACAGGAAGTCCAGATACCTGAACTACTTTAGATCCATTTTTGGATATCTTGTTGTAACTTTTGAGGTGTGCTTCAGTGTACCGAAGAAACACACGTCTGCTTTCCATTTAAGAGTCATCTATCACTTTCTGAGTCTCAAATAGACCAAAACACAAACTGTTCCACCTGTTCAAACAAGAAATGTCTCACCTGCTCAGAGACCTGACTAACAAACACACATTTTTATTATTTGAAATATGATGAAGCTGTTCCCAGCTACGTTTGGCAGATGTCATCAAAGAGGAATGTAAGATAACCGGGGGCGTTGGCTCAGTTTCATAGAACGTCTAACTGTAAAAACTGGTTTTAAACTCCAAACAATCCCATCTACTTTCTGTTGATCATCTGAATGAAGCAACACCCTATAAGATTTACTGAAGAAAACATGAAAACAAACTACCTGTAGAGGTTTTGTGAATTTAGGAAGTAAAACCGCTCGTCCTCATAAAGAAAGTCCAGTGAAGTTGACAGGAAACTGTTCTTACCTTGTAGGAGAATCACAGACAATAAAAACATCTTTATCCTCCATTAGCAAATGTTTGCTCCACAGATCTGCTCCTCCCTCCGGTGATCCATCTGAACTAGTTTATAGATGACTTTCAAAGTAAAAGCACGTCCAAGTCCCAACTTACACCATTTGATTTGTGTTTTGGACGTACCATTGCAGGACACAAAAACAGAACAACTCCTCAAAATAAATCAAATATTGTTTTTGTGTTTTAAAGGAGTTTTTAAAGTGAGCAGAAAGAGTTCAGATTCTAAGAACTAAAAGTTTCAGTTCCCTGAAATGATGTAAGTTGTGGTTTGGTGATTTACTAACTCTTACTAGAATCAAGAACTCAGATTCTGCTTTTCTTTCTTTATTTGTTTTATTTATTTAAAATATTTTGAAAACAAACTAATGACAAAACTTTTGATATTTTACTGACCAACTTTTACAGGTGATTTCTATAACTCAGACTTTTGTGTCTGTCCAGATGTGTTCTGGTTCACACGTCCACAGGTGTTCTGGTTCATCTGTCCTTGGTTTTTCTGGTCCATCTGTCCACAGGTCTGCAGGGTCCAGATGTTTCAGCTCCTTCCACAGATGTTCTGCAGGATTTAGATCAGGGTCTAATATTGGGTCTGATCCATTCTTGGGTTTGGGTTTTTAGGGTCATGGTGCTGTTGGACTCATGATCTGAGACTGTCAACAAGCTTTCAGACCTTTAACAGCTCATTTAGCTCCAGAAGGCCTTGACAGTCTTGAGATTTCATGGAATCCTGAACAGATTCAAGCAACCTCAGAACAGAACCGAGCCTCCTCCATGTTCCTCTGGGTTCTGTTCTGTTTGGGTCTGTGGACACAGCTGATGGGACTTGTTTGAAGAAAAGGTCCAGTTTTGTCTCATCTCTCCCGGAACAATTTGCAGCAGAGTTTCACACTGAGAGATGACAACATCATCAACCTGAGGATTAATTCAAACTAAATCCAGTTTCTGAATCTGTTCTTCAGACCATCAAGAAGCTGCTGACAGGAAACCAACTTCCTGCTTTAATTCAGGCCACATGTAGGTCTAGTTTTATCCTGCAGATAAAGAAATGTTCTTAATGAATCCCTCGTCTTTAAATAAAACCTAACATTAGGTCTTCAGACTTTTAGTTTCTGGCTATAGACCTGCTGAAGTTTGTGGTCGGGGATATTGCATCACTTCCTGTTCATGTTTTGGTTAAAATGTTTACTCCACTGAGGTTTCTGCTGACTGTCATGTTTTCACACCTAAAGTACATTGATCACAGAAACTCCTCAGACCTCCTGCACTTTTAGGTCACAGCCTGATGCTAGTCTTCATTAATCTGCACCCAGGATGTTACAAATGTAAGGTTATTAATAACAAGTTGACACAGAACTGAAAGAGATCCAGAACCGCAGGACTCCACTGATCTGGTCTGCAGGGTGAAAAGACACGTCTGTCTGAAGAAGAAGAGTCTTTGGTTTGATGAAACCAAAACTGAAACCTTTCTCCTCACAGCTCAGCTCCTCTTCACCACAACAGACCAACAGAAAGTAACAACACTGATTTGTTTGTAGACCTCAGGCCCAATTCTCCCCTCACTGGTGAACAAAACCCCTGAGTTACTTAAACTCCTCCACTTGAGGCAGAACCTTACTCCCCGAGGACCATGGCCTCATCCCAGCCGCTTCACACTCTGAAGCTGAAGATCATGGCATGATGACGCCAACAGGACCACATCATCTGCATAAAGCTGAGCTGCAGATAGGTGATGAACAGTGCATATTGTGTTTACCGTTTCAAGCAACAACATACAACACCAAAAACAAAACTCCAGGACCAAAAGGAGCATCAAACCGCAACTAAAAACAAGGTGGAACTCAATGCCAAAGCATTGACTGGTATGCCTCTGCCTGCCTGTTGACGAAATAGAAAAAAATGCCAGTTTTATATTACCAATCACCATAAATGATCTTGACCTTTGACCCTTTGAAGCCCAAATCTAATCAGACTGAGTACTACCCCAATGGAGTTACTATGTAGTAACAAGGATCTGCCTTTGAACAGGTGAAAAACAGGAGAGGCTGATTCCTGGATAGAAAAAAAAGTTGTTTTCATACAGTTCATGTAAATATCTTGTTTTAAACAAACATAAATAACTTGGGACCGAATATCGAACCCTGTGGAACACCACTGCTTATTGGTCTCTTTGGTTCTTTTTTGTGTTGTTAGGTTTTACGTTGTGAAACTTAATGTTTACAAAATTAAATCTTTTTTTTATTTATACAGCACCTTTCAGACAAAAATAATAAAGAACTTTACAAAAGTACAAACTGGTTTGGAGTCAACAGCTGGCAGATCTCGATGTGTTTCAAAATGTTGTCCATGTGTTACGTGTAAATGTGTATCAGGCTATGTGTCCCATTGGTCTTTCTGATGCCTGCATCATGTTGAGCTGATCAGGCAGCCGGTTTGTAAAATCAGTCATTTTCATAGATTGATTGATGTGACAGATGAACTTCCCTGTTGCTCGACCTGCAGAGGAAACGGGACAAACACAGCTTCATCACAGTTGTCGTGACTTGGCGCTATATAAATAAACTGAACTGAAACTGAATTGAATTGAATAATTTTTGCTTTAAAAGTCTGATTTAACAACAAATAACAGACAAAATTATTAAAAGGAAATGTTACCACAAAGAGGAGGCAGACGATCTTTGGTCAGTACTGCCCTTCAGGCTCCCCCTCAGGCTATCCTTTAGGCCCCCCCTCAGACTCTCATCGTCTCCGATGCTTCCGGTCCTGTTTTCAGGTGGACACAGTTGTCCATCTGGAACTACGTCACCAAACACTAAATCTGCAACTAAAAATGCACCGTTTTCTGCAGAGAGGGAGAAAATAAACAATTACAGAGTGATTCTAACCTTAAAAAACACTTTTATTAAAGGGGACTGCAAGCGTCACCGTTGGAGGGGTGTCACAAAATCGGAAACCAGTAAACCAGAGGTCCCCGACCCTGGAGGTCCACTATCCTCCACCCTGATTCAAATAATTCAATTATCTAATCAGAATGTCATGAGGTTTAGCAGAAGCCTGTCAGTCAGGGAAACATAAGGACAGTGGGGTCACCAGGACCAGGGGTCCTCTGTAGTAGACGGCCATTGACCAACTCTACAGGATTTCAGGACTCTACAGGATAAGACAGTGTGGTCAAGGGTGTCCTTTTTACCCCAGCCCCTCTTTGGTGAATACTTTGGTATACTTTAACCCTTTAGTGCCTTTACTGTCCTGGATTGTAACGCAGGTTTTGTTAGAAGGCTACAAAACAAAAGCCCAGTTTTCTAACCAGCGATGTGTTCAAAGGTCTTACCTTTAACGTGGAGAGACACAACTTTCTGTTTGACTTTGTGTCCACGCTTCTGCACGGTGCAGACATAGAGACCACTGTCTGCAGGACAGGGAGAGTGCAATGTCAAAGACAAGTCTCCGGTTCTCAGCGGGTTCTCCATCATCTTGGTGCGGTTTTGGTAGTTCTCTATCTGTATGATAGGCTGTCGTGTGTCGTTTGAATACATGTGGACCACCACATCTTTGTTAATGTGTCTCCACTCCACGGTGGCGTCCGCAGGAAGGAAACGTCTGGTTTTACAGGGCAGCAGGACAGACGGTTCCCCCTCCCCAGCACTCGCCAACTGCAGCTCGTAGACTGAGGACAGAGCAGAGGACAACGTCTACCTGATGGTCAATCATTTTCTTTCTAAGCTGACATCTGTCCTCAGCTTCCTGTAGTCCAACAAGTTTTTTTTCCAGTAGTACCACACTTCATGTCAACACCAGTTTTTAAAAATGGTTCTGTTGAACCCCTGTTGTCAGGGAAGTCACAATTGGCTGTTCTAGAAGTTGCTAAATGTCGTTGTCTAATTTGCATATTTTGACATTTGCCAATAATTGTGATTTAGGTTGTAGGAGAGTAAAAACACAATGAACAAATGAATAGAAAAGAAAACAATTTTATGACTTTAATGCTTAGATCTACATTACATAAATAAATTTTGCGCAACTCATAAGGCTCCATTATAGTTGCGCTTTTGTGTGTTGCGAAGGGCGCATCTACCCTCACCAGCAGCGTTTATACTTGACACTTACATTGTAGTATTCTCCAAAAGAACATGTGGCGTTACGCTTTATCACTTTTGAAATGTTGTCAATAGGAGAGCAAGAGCTTGATGATAAACAAACTATTTGAATTTGAAAGTTACAAAAATTCGGAGGTGCACAACCATGCTGGGCCATTGCACCGGGGTGGGGATGGCACGATTGTGTCACTGTTAGCACGCGCAGCCTCGCGCAGTGTTCAACACGTCAACTTCAAACCAGGCTTTAGCTGCGGTCTCCTCTCTGCTCTGACTGCAGCTGGTGTTGCTGCACGAAGTTTCAGCGAGTCGGACCTCTTTTCACCACTTTGGAAAGGGGGAGGGGCTCACAGCAACACTCAGAGGAAAGCACTGTCACCAAAAGTTCTAAGAGTCTCCAATAACGTCGTAAAAAGTTACTAGATTTGTCGCTAGTCACTTTTTTTAAAGAAAAGTTGTCATATATGGAAGGACAAGTGTAAAATGAAATGTTAAAAAATTTTCACTAACATGTTTTTCATTATTTAGCTCACTGTTCTTACATTTAGCTAATTTTTACTACGTTAAATTTAAATCTTTACTGGTCAATGGGGTCTGAAATCTCACTAACCATCATATGGTTTTTATGGACACATTTTGAATTTAGTATCAAATTTTATCTTTAGCAGTGTTAGAAGTGTTAGAAGTTAGCTTCAGATAACCAGGACGATGTCATCATCCTGCGACAAACATCAACGATGGCCGCTGCTAGCCACTGCTAGCCGTTGCTAATGCTGCTGAAAATAATATTTAAAATCTAAATTCAAAATGTGTTCATAAAAACAACATGGGTGGTCCCTGTGGTCCAGCAGTTTCAGCCATAACTGCAAGTTTGATGTCTTGAAGGAAAGCTTTAGCTGCATCGGCACACTAGTGGTTGCTGTTGTCTCAGGATGATGATGTCACAACATGACAGCAAAGGCTGCGTTCCATTCCAAAATACCTAAATGTGAACTTCAACATTTGAGGTTTAACTTTTACATTTAGATTTAAACATTTAAATTTAGGATTTAATATTTAGATAGTTTTTTTTTTTTTGCATTTAAATACAACATTTAGTAAAAATGAGTTAAATGTAAGAACAGTGAGCTAAATAACAAAATGTTAGTGGAAAAATTTTCACACTCAAAAAGTGAGCTAAAAAGTGAACATGCCCCATGGTTAGAGGGGTCTGAAAACTCACTAAACTGGAGACAAAGTCGTTAAGTTGGCAACGCTGTGTTGAACATTCATAATTTTTAGTTTGTTTCTGTAACTTTTAAAAGCTGTAGGTTTTTATTTTTTTATTTTTGGTAAAGATGGAAGAAGCTTGGAATGAGCTCGTCTCTTACGTACCTGGTTTACATTTCATCTTCTTATATCTACAGTAGAAGACCAAACCCAGGACAGCAGCCAGGACAAACAGCAGAATCAGGACTGGAGACACAACTTTGGGCCAGAGAGGAGGTGGTTCTACAGTCAACACAAGAAAAACTGAAACATGGTCCTTCAGAGTAAACCGAGTCCTGTCAGGATTTCTTTAGTCAACTTAAGATTTCTGGTGTTGAACCGTTCTGCTGTAGAGCAGAAAGGTTGATGTTTCTACACCCACCTGT